GAGCGCCAGAGATCTTCAGAGCGTCCACAACAACAACAAAAGCCTTAACAACAACAAAAACAACAACAACAACAACTTATAGAAAATCAACATCACTCACGAAAACGACAACAACAACAACAAACAAAACCTAAAAACCAGCCGTCATTTTGGATAAAACAACAACAACAACAACAACGCAATTTACAGCCAGCACCACAACAACATCAACAACAACACGGCTTGGCATCGTCATCATCTTCATCACGCCATCCAACAGCATCACTACTATCACCCTTCGCCCCTTCGAGATCATCATCATTCTCAAATCAGCTGCCCACCAAATCGTCTGCCCAGTTATCATTATCACCTCCATGTGTATCATCATCATCATCGCACTCGGTGTTGTCGTCGTCTTCATCATCATCACATGGTTATCACGTGACTAAGGGGGAGAAGTCGTCATCATCGTCATCATTCTCTGCTCTGTCATTGTCGATTCGATCACTGAATGATGAGACTGAACAGAATGAGTAAGTTTGTTCGTCATGATGATGGTGATGATGAAGAGAATGATGAAGAGGATGGTGATGAAGATGAAGATGATGAAGAGGGTGATGAAGAGGATGATGAAGATGACGAAGAGGATGATGAAGAGGATGATGATGATAAAGATGATGATGATGAAGAGGATGATGATAAAGATGATGAAGATGATGGTGATGATGAAGAGGATGGTGAAGAGGATGATGATGATAAAGATGATGATGATGAAGAGGATGATGATGATAAAGATGATGATGATGAAGAGATGATGATGATGATGATGATGGTAATGATGATGGTGATGATGATGGTGATGATGATAGTGATGATGATGATGGTGAGGATGATGGTGATGACCAAGACGATAGAATAATTTTCAAAAAGTTTGAAATGATGGTGCCAAAAAACAAATGTAAGACGTACCAACCATCATCATCATCGTCGTCGTTGTCATCATCATCTTCGTCTTCATCATCATCGTCGTCGTCATCACATCATCATCAAAGGTCTTCACGTTGATCGAAGAATCCAGCCATGTTATGTCTCAACTGCTAGAGAACGATGAAAAAATTGAACGAAAACAACTACTGCTACTTCCGCAACAGCAAAAAATGCAGCTGGAGCAGCAACAGCAGCAACGACAGCAGCAGCAGCAAAAACAACAGCCACTAGTCCGACCGAAACAGCAAACCACATCGCTAACCTCTCGATCGGGCGGGAAATTGAGGCCGCAATCGTCGCTACCACTCTCTCCACCGTCGTCGTCGTCGTGTAGCTGTTTTCCATCATCTTCATCAAAGTTCCTTGCAACGTCATCGTCTACGTCATACTTCTCAGCAGCAGCAGCAGCAGCTTCAGCGTCGTTTTGTCCGCTGTCATTCGCGCCACCGCTTTATAAAGGGTCATCATCTGTCTCTATTACACCGTCGTCTTCGTCGCCAACAAGAACTACAACGACACCATTCAAAACGAGAACAACCTCACCAAAGAAAGCAGCCCCAACAAAAACTTCAGCATCATCGTTGAAAACAACAACAAGAACATCACCACAGACAACAACATCATCATCAAAGACCACAACAGCAACAACAACAACACTAAAGACAACGGCAACATCATTTAAAACAACATCGCCCAAAACAACAACAACAACACTACCAAAAACAACAACGTCAAAAACAGCAACAACATCATCACCACTAAAAACACCACCTAACCCTAACCCACCTCCACCACCACCGCCACCACCACCAGCTACAATCGCGGCCACCTCATCCACAATGGATGAAAGAGATGGATACATCGATAGCGAAAGCAACGAAGATGACGATGATGGTGGGG